GAGGCCGGGCGCGGGAAGCTCACGCAGCTGCGGGGGCTCCGACCAGGGGGAGCAGAGTGAGCCGCGGCTGGGGCAGTGCCAGAGCTTTTTCGGCCTTTTTTATGCAAATCTGGAGGTGGGGAGGAGCTAGGGCAGAGTAATCCGAGGAGGGCTGGTCACAACTTTCTGGGTCTCGAGCGCAAGCTGGAAGGAGATTCGGGCTGCGCCCCCTCCCCAGACACTGGGGCTGCGCACGCTCGCTGGACGATTACTTTAAACAACAAGCAGAACGGCCCAGCCGGCCCCTGCGCGCCACAGTGGGGAGCGGGGAGCGGGCTGTGGGAGCTGCGGACACCCGAGTCGCCCCCTGCGAGGCCCTTTGCCGCCTTTGCTGCGACACAGCACCGAGCCTCTGCTGAGCTCTGGGCTGGAGGCCGGGACCTGCGCCCCGAGGCCGGCTCGGAGCTCTTGGGTTCCCACTGAGTCTCTAGGCAAGTTCGTCCAAGCAGTGTGCTCCCCCCTGCCCTTAGGTAAAAACAAAAAATTAGAAGCCTACCTAGAATATGAGCAAAACTTTACAGGGAAAACGAAATGACAGCACAATATTGGGTTGCTGTTTGGAGCGTACAGGAAACTGTGCTTTGTGGAAAGGCCTCTGCACGTCTCGCAGTCGCAGGCTTTGCCTCCTTCATTGAGTGGGGTGACTTACACCCGCCCTTTGGCAGGGCTCCGAGCCTGGCTGGGGACTCCCGGCGGGGTGGCAGCGGGGCACAGCAGGGATCAGGTCTGGAGACCCATGAGGGCTCGAGGCCTAGGCAGGGTCGGGCCTTCGTCCTCCGAGCGCCGGGTTGGGGGTGCCGCGTTGGGCCGCGGGAACTCCCGCGCTGACCTCCGCTCTCATGGAGCGGGGGATCCGGTGTCTTTGGGGACACAGGGGCTAAACCGGGAACAGAATGCCGGGCAAAGAGTGGGTGACTGGGGCCTCTTCCCCCGAACATCCGCAGTACCCCCGACGGTGCGAAGCCCCGGGATAATCCGCACAGAGTGAGGTTCTTTCGTATGGAAGGGCGGCGCATTGTTATTACTTCCCGGCCACTTACGGCCACCACCAGGCTCAGACCCCAGCGGCCCTATTTCCTTCCTTCCGGAGGATGCAGTAGCCTCCACTCCTCCACCTCCCCGCCCCAAGTCGCGGGGTCCCCTTAGTGGTCCCGCTGCTCAGAGGAAGGGCTTCACGAGTGGGTGGCCACACCCGATCCTGGTCGTGGACTCTCAGGAAGATCTCCACCTGGAGGGAGCGCGCTTCTGAGCCCCAACATCTGGGCCTCTAAACACCTGGGAGCGGAAAAAAGATTCCCCGAATTGGTCCTAGGCCATTCCCTCTCTAACGTTAGCACCGCTAGGCCTTAAAGTTCCTCTCTCTAAAACAGCTTTGAAAAGAAAACAACCCCAAAGGAAACCCAGCCAAGCCTCTGAGCTCGGAGAGAGAGGGACTTGGCCTGGGGGTGGCAGTGAGGG